TGCAGCCTGCTGTACACATAGGCTAGGTAATATAGCCTGTGGCTACTAGGCTACAAACCTAGACAGCATGTTGCAAAGCCAGAGTACATGTTACCATACTTAGTACTGTAAGCAGTTGTAACACAATAGTAAGTATTTTGTGTATCTAAACATAGAAAAAGCACAATAAAAATACAGTACAAAAAATAAAACGTGGAATACTTGCATAGGACACTTACCATGAGTGGAGCTTGTGGATCTGAAAGTTGCTCTGGGTGAGTCAGTGGTTGAGTGGTGAGTGAATATGAAGGACTGGATCATTACTGCACCCTTTCATACATCTGGCAGCGTGGAACGTTTGTTTACACTATCATTGCCACAGACATGTAATGCTTTGTGCTGTGAGGTTACCACAGCTGAACCATTACTAGGCAGTAGGAATTTTTCAGCTTCATTGTAATCTTACAAGACCACTGTCATATATGTTGACTGTAACGTCGTCACATGGTGTGTAACTGTTTATCAATAGGGAGATGTTTTCTTTGTGTATATAAGTAAATTAAACATTTTTTTCCTTACATTGTATGTGTTTGTGTGTAAGGAAACAGTGCATTTGGTACCGATATTTGACTATTAGAACATGAAGTTTCCTCATTTTGTGCAGTAACTACATGCTATTTTATTCTAGGGTGTGCTCTAGCCTACTTACCCAGCTCCTGCTGATAGGCATTTAGGTGGTTCCCAGTGTTTTGATACTAAAGACAATGCTGTAGTGGATAATTTTGTGTGTAATATTCCGCATCTATCTAAGTATATACGTAGGTTAAATTGCTAGAAATGAAGTTGCTAGAACAAAGGAAAAATAATAATCCATGTGTTTGATTATATGAGAGAAATGAAGCTACTTTAAAAATTTTACATTACTAAAATGTTTATATTGGAAACTATACTCATTTAAATCCAAAGATTTTTAAGCTATTTTTAGAAGATTAGTGGACTTTAGTATATCTTGTACATTAAAAAGGAAAAGAGGCCATTGCTTAGGAAGTTCTGTACTAGACCAAAGCAAAACAAATGAACAAACAAAAAACAATATGGATATTATTACTGAAAACAAGAATTCTGTAGTGAGAGAAGTTTGGTGTGTATGGTTTGAAAACATAGCATTTTAATCCCCTACATTATCTAAAACCTTAATCACACATTTGCTTATTATTTCTGAGCTAGGAGATGGTATTGGTACATTAAGCTGTTTGGTACCAAATGTAATCTGGGGATTAGTGAAAGTCAAATCCCCTATGCATTTGTCCTTGAAAATCTGATTGGGTTTTCTCTATTGGTGGCCTCTCTTTGCTACAATTAACTAGAGGGTCACATCCATCTTGGTGGCTCTCAAGCATCTTTCCTCCCTCAGGGAGGATGAGAGGGGAGGTAGCAGAGGTTTTTGAATATGCAACTCGCAGTTAGGGACAAGCATAAATCCTTGAGACAGCTGTCTCAAGATTGCATGGATAATTTTGTACAATTCTCCATTTTTGTGCATTATGTACAATTCTCCATTTTGTGTATTTCTGGATTTCAAAGAAAACATTAAGCTACTTAAAATCCTCAAGTAGAAAATAAAAATTGTTGATTGAACAGCATCTACTGAAAACAGTAAAAGTTTCAACCAGTTTTGAGTTATATATTGGAAGGCACCAGGGCCTGAGGAAAGTACAGCAGTCATGATTTTAACCAGGTCTGTTTGACTCCAGCGATGGGCTCAGGGCTCTTTGTGGTGTTGTATGGTGCTTTAGGCCCATTAAATGCAAACCTACATGCTTCTGATATGGCATCAGGCTTAAAAAATTAAAAAAAAAGCTTAAACAGTAAAATATTCCAACACCATTCAAAATTTGAGATAGAAACAGTGTGTTCTAGCAACTTAAGATTTGTAGGACGCCGTGTATATGTAGAGAGGAAATTAGATATTTTACATAGATTGTCTTTCATTTTCCTTTTTAAAATCATCAATGATCTTAAACTGTAATATGTGATAAAATACATAATTCCTAATTTTTAAAAACTTATCTACATGATTTTCTTACGTCAAAATGTTAAATAACACTGATACAAGGAAGAATGTGGAATTCTGAATTTGTGGATTTAAATATTGTGCATCTGGTATGAGTTTTCAACAATTACTAAACTGCTTTGTTATTCAAAAAGAAAGGAGACAGTTGAATCTATTTTGACACACATACCTTACAAAAAAAATATTTTAGGATGTTTCAGTGTACCTGATTTTGTTGAATCTTCTAACTATGCCAAAGGTATTTCTAATTATTGCATAAATAGATAATGAAAGATAGGATTTCTTTTCTTCTAATTAAAGCTGAAGTCATGAATTGTTATACTCGGAGCAGCTGATGTGAGACTTACTGCTCTTTACTGAAGAAAACAAAACCAATGTAGCTCATTTATACCATTGGTGCTACAATTTTCAAACTGTGTATGTGTGTGTCTATTCTATTCTTGGAAAATTTCTGAAAGAGTATATAAAGATAGTTGATTATAATTATTTCTGGAGTTGAAGTGATAGAAGAAACTTTAAAAAATTTTATATCTTGTCATATTGTTTTAAATTTTTACCATGTGCATGTATTATTTTTATAGAAAAAAATCAATAAAAATTAAAGGTATTCTTGTATTTCTGTGTTTATTTTCCATTACAGATTCCACTTAGAATTAATTTTTCAGGATCAAAACATAGTGTAGTACAAGAAAGCAAACAAAATGACTAATTTATTTATTTGGTGACTTAGTCTTTATCTCTTCTTGGAAGCTTTGATTAGAAGCTGCAGATATAATTTGCTGTTTTCTCTTAGTCATCCTTTTCTTATCTTCAGTTTCTACCCTGCTTCCTTCCGTCTCCCCCACCACATCACTGTTAATCCCTATTGTATAGTGTCTTCATATACTAACCAATTCTCTGATGCCAGCTGTGTATCCAGTAATTCAATTCTGAAGCTAACTGCAGGGGTTAGCATCAGGCCTCCTCCCCTCCCCACAGATCAAGGACTTAATCCCCTAAGACTGCCCCCACTTCAGATGCCAGCCACAGTGTAATGCCCAGGCTACCCAGATTTCTGCCTGACTACAAATTTGGAGGTTCCAGGAGCCTCCCTCAGGTTTGATAATTTGCTATAATGACTCACAGAACTCAGGAAAGCACCTTGCTTACTATTAGTGACCAGTTTCATCAAGGAGTGAGAGGCTTTGTCAGCTTTTGTAAGTCACACAAGATCCTAAGGTTTTAGAACCAAATCATTGGATATTCTAGTTCCCTTTTCTCATTTTAAACATGAAGAACCCGTATCCTAACTGATGTACGTTTTTCTAATGGCAAAGACACTTATTAGCAGATCTGAATGAGAATCTTAGAATTTTTATGTCCCATTTAGTGTCCTTTAAATTGTAATAATTCTTTGTTGCTCATTCAAAACCTTTGTTTAATAGACAGTAATTTAGTTAGAAATGGGAGGCTGCATAGCATGATGGAGTGAAAGCTCCTCAGTGGAATTATGAAGCCCATTGGCTGCTTCAGGCCCGAAGCTTCCAGCTTTAAATAAATCTTTCATTTATCCCAAGATACTGTAAACATCTTTCTTACTTTTTTTTCCAATATGACATACAAAGTGGTGGGAGAGACTGTACAGGCACCTTGTCTTTGGAGTCGAACAAACCTGAGGGTGAATCTTACCTTTGCCATTTATTGTGAAGTCACCTCTTTGAAACTCCTCTTTGTCATCTGTTTTGAGGATTGAATTATGTAATGAATGTGAGTTATCTTGTCCAGGGATGGCATGTTAAGATGTGCCATCTTAAATGTTAAGATGAAATCATCATAACAAGTAGAGCAAAGAGCATTAGTAAAGACATTAGCATATAGTTGATATGTGTCATATGAACATTCTTAAGTGTTCGTAGCTTACACAAAATGGATAAATATGTGTATTCCTTTGTACAACGGATGCTGTCTTTGATACCTTCTCCAGACTGCTGTTTATCCTTCTCTGAACCTGGGTGTCTATTGGTTGGTCCCTAGAGGTAACAGTTCACGTACTCATTCATTCATCAGTCATGCAAGCGCCTAATTTTGTATCTCTTGTACAACCAAATACTGTGCGCCGTAGGGTGAATTGAACTTTATGCTAAAATTTTCTAGGATCTGGAACTTGCTTAGTTGAAGATGTTTATGAGTGAATAAATAGATTTTACCTGAGAGAAATGTGTGTTCTAGTGGGAGGGGTAGCACATTTTTTTTTTTTCCGTCTAAGGGTGGTAGTAGAGTTGCATGTAAAGTGCTTTGTGAGTATCAAGGTGAGAGTGATTGATTCTTCCATTCTTGCCGCCCCGTTGAGGAAACACTTGCACAGAAAATGAGATTTAATGTGGTTGAGTCTCGAAAGGAGATGAAGATGAAATCATCGTAACAATTAGAGCAAAGAGCATTAGTAAAGACCTTGACATATAGTTGATATGTGTCATATGCAAGGAGGGAAGATTTGACTGGGGAGGTGGGCTACTGGAAGGTTGTGTAGGGTGTTTAATGCCATCATAGAATCAGTTCTTAGTTGTAGAAGCCTTGAAAAGCCAGGCAAGATTGATAAATAGGGATGTTTCAGCGCTTTGCATCATTGAACTGTGAATACTTATGGCTTTTCTTCTTTATTTGATCAGCCTTATCTAGGGATCCAGAAGACCCGAAGTAACGTATTTTTGTGTTTGTTCTCTGGTCTATTGTTCTCCTCTGTTGGCATGAGCAGTTGAGATTTGACTTTGTAGAGCCATGATACATGCATCTATTCCATTTATGAAGAATCATTGATAAAACAGGAAATGTACTTGAAAACAGTTGCCTCAATTTAATAGTCCATACTTCAGTAGTAGTTGATTTCATGCCACAACAGAGCTAACCAGAACACTAACCCCTGCATTTCTGAGTCATACACTTCATGGTTATCTTTTTGCCTCCACAGAAATAGAAAAGTTTCAAAAAGGAGAAGGCAAGGATGAAGAAAAGTACATCGATGTGGTGATTAATAAGAACATGAAGCTGGGACAGAAAGTGTTAATTCCTGTAAAACAGTTCCCTAAGGTAAGACAGTGAGGTCTACACTGCTGATATTTTAACCTGAATCAAAGGGGAGCAGGTGTTTAATTTGTATCCCATTTGGTGTTTTTAGAGATGTTTCCTCTTAGCATCCCCCTACACACACTTTTAAAGTTAATTAAACACTTAGTAAATTTAGTCATTCTATCTTTTCCCTTTAACTTTAGTGTGAGTTACAGATTCCTGAAAATCTATCCTTTTGAGTCAAACTAGCAGTGTGTCTTTGGCAAACCTGGTCAGCTTTTTTCCACTTCAGTTTCCGCATTTGTAATATGAGGTTGGATGATTTAAAATTAAATGAGATAATCTGTGTTAAATGCTTGGTACATAAAGGTCCCACAATATCATTGTTTATATTTTATTTAAATCCTATTTTTCCTTTGTTTTTCTTCTGAATGTTCATGTACATGATTCTTGCATGCTGTTGTGTATATTAGGAGTTCATTTCTTTTTATTGATGAATAATAATCTGTTACCTGAATATATCATTGTTGTTTATCCGTATGTCCAGGCACTTTTAATTTTTCGGTTATTATAAATTGCTGTGAACACGTTTATACGCGTGGTTTTTTTTTTTTTTTCTTTTTTTTTTAACGTTGTATTTTGTTTTAAGTTCCGGGATACATGTGCAGGACATGCAGGTTTGTTACAAAGGGAAATGTGTGCCATGGTGGTTTGCCCCATCCCCTGGGTATTAAGCCCCACATGCATTAGCTGTTATTCCTATTGCTCTCCCTCCCCCCGCCCCCACGACAGGCCCCAGTGTGTGTTGTTCCCCTCCCTGTGTCCATGTGTTCTCATTGTTTAGCTCCCACTTATAAGTGAGAATATGTGGTGTTTGCTTTTCTGTTCCTGTGTTAGTTTTCTGAGGATAATTACTTCCAGCTCCATCCATGTCCCTGCAAAGGACATGATCTCGTTCCTCTTTAGGGCTGCATAGTATTCCATAGTGTATATGTACCACATTTTCTTTATCCAGCCTGTCATTGATAGGGATTTGGGTTGATTCCGTGTCTTTGCTATTTGTACAAGTTGTTTCATAACCAGATATGTTTGTAACTCTTTATGAAATACCCAGTACTGAAAATTGTTGTGTATTTAGTATTACAAGAAATTATCATACTTTTTTCCAAAACACTTATACTTTGTAACATTTCTACAAACAATGTATGCAGGTTGTGGTTGTGGCCGCCTCATACCCCCATCAGTATTTGGTGCTGTCAGCCTTTTTTATTTTAGCTATTTTGATGGTATATTGGTATCTTCCTGTGGTATGAAGTTGCATTTCCTTTATGATTGATGATTTTGTGCAATTTTTCATATCCTTACTGGCTATTCATGTATTTGAATCTTGAAATCTTTGCCAACTTCAAGGAACTGTTAGAGTTCTTTATAAGTTATAAAGATACTCTTCTGTATTTTCTCTAAAAGTGTTATTGTAGCTTTTACTTTTAGGTCTATGATGTATCTCAAATACATTTTTGTATATGGTGGGAGAGAGAGGCTCAAGTTCATCTTTTTTCCCATATGGTTATCTAGTTTTTCTTGCACTATTTGTTGAAAGATGTTTCTCTGCACTGATTCTTTTGGTGCCTTTGATGAGAAAATAAGGTGAGCATATAAATGGGGGTATATTTCTAAGCTTTCAGTTCACTTCTTTTAATCTATTTATGGATCCTTATGCCAGTACCACACTGTCTTGATTACTATAGGTTTTTACATAGTGAGACGTGAGTTTAGGTAATATAGTTCCTTCGCCTTTGTCCTTCTTTTTCAGGATTACTTAGATATTTTAGATCCTTTACAATTACATATAAATTTAAGAATTTCTTTGTTAATTACTGCAAAGCCATCTGCTGGGATTAGAATTGCAATTGCATTGCATCTGTTGAGCAATTTGTGGGAGATTTGACATCTTAACGATATTGAGTCTTACATTTAATTTCTATCAACAGCATTTTGTACTTTTTAAGGTAGGAGTTTTGTGTATCTTTTGTTAAACTTATTCCTAAATATTTTGTGTTTTTTTGACACTATCGTAAATTGAGTATTTTTAAATTTCTATGTTCCAGGTTTTTTCTAATATAAAATTTTGTATACTAACCATGACTTCTACTACCTTGCTAAATTTAAATTCACTTATTCTAGTAAGTTGTTTTGTAGATTTCTTAGGATTTGTCATACACATCATTATATCATTTGCTTAAACAGTTTACTTCTCCCTTTCCAGTTTCTATGCATCTTATTATTTTACTTGCATTATTTTGGCTAATATCTCCAGTATAATGCTGAAGGCAAATGAGGAGAGTAGAAATTATTCCTGTTTCTAATCAAGGAGGAAAACATGCAGTTATTTTAGCATTAAGAGCAATATTAGTTATAGGGTTTTTTTGGTAGATTTCATTTGTTGGGTAGAGGAAGTTCCCTTCTACTTTTTTACTCAGAGTTTTACTCAGAGTTCTGATCCTCAGTGGGTGGTAAATTTTTTTCAATGCTTTTTCTACATCTATTGAAATAAACACAAGGTGTTTCTCTACACTGTTTATATGGTAGATTTTAATGATTGATTTTTAAAACTAAAAACTTCTTTGTATTCTTGGGTTAAACCCTACTTAATAGTGACATATTATCTGTTTTATACAGTGCTGGATTCAGTTGCATCTTATGTTAATGAGTGATACTGACCTATACCTTTTTTTTTTGAGACAGAGTCTCACTCTGTTGCCCAGGCTGTAGTGCAGTCACGCAATCTTGACTTACTGCAACCTCCACCTCCGCAGTTCAAGTGATTCTCATGCCCCAGTCTGCCGAGTAGCTGGGATTACAGGCATGCACCACCACGCCTGGCTAACATTTGTATTTTTGGTAGAGATGTGGTTTCTCCATGTTGACCAGGCTGGCCTCATGTGATTTGCCTGTCTCTACCTCCCGAAGTGCTGGGATTACAGGCAGGAGCCAGCACTCCCAGCCTGACCTGTACATTTTTTAGAGTATTATTTTTGTCAGATTTTAGTGTTAGTGTTATGCTGGTTTCATAAAATGACTGGATAAGTGTTTCTTTCCATTTTCTCAGAGAACATATATCAGATTGGTGTTACTTATTCGTAAATATTTGATAGAATTCACCAGTGAAGCAATCTGGGCCTGGAGTTTGATGATGAATTCAATATCTTTGATATGACACTAGACAGATTTCCTATGACATCTTTTGTGAAAAATTTGTTTTTAAAAGGACTTGTACATTTTATCATAATATTTCAGTTACTATTTCAATCATTTTTCTGATCCTTTCTCCTCTCATTCTTTTGAGATTTCTGTTACACATACGTTCAGCCTTTTGTCACTCTCACAAAGGTTTCTGTGGCTCTGGATTTTTTTTTTCCCTGTCCTTCAGATTTTATAACTTTTACTGCTGTATCTTAAACTCATGATTCATTTCTGTCTTCATTTTGCTGTTAACCCACCAAGTAATTTTGTTATATCAGGAATCGTAATCATCTGTTTCAGAATTTATGTTGGAATCATATACACATGTATGTGTGTAAAAATATTTTTTTCTCTGTTGGAGTTTTCTATTTTTTAATTCATTGCAAGTGTTATTTTCCTCTGTCCCTGAGTATGGTTAAATAGGTCCTTGAACATCTCTGGCTACTAATTTCTGAGTCTTCTAAATCTTGGCCATCTTAGATTTATTTTGCACTGGGAGTCTTTTATCTTGATGAAGAGTCATATTGCTTCAGTCCTCTGCATCTTGAGTAATTTTGGATTGTATGCTGGCTATTGTGAATGTACATTGTAGAAACTTTGGATTCTGTTTCTTTCTTTGGAAGAATGTTGATATTTTTGTTTTAGCAGCTAATTAACTTGGTTGGATTTAGGGTATAAACTGTGTGCCTATTGGGTAGGAGTTCAAGTCTCAGTTCATTTCTTTCCTTAGTTTGCCTTTTTGTGTTTAATTTCTGTCATATGATTCAGGGGCCAGCCAGAGATTTTGGAAGATTTTATACATAGTATTTGGTGATCTGCAACTCTGACTGTCTTTTCTAGTATTCCTCCCTCACTTTTCAGTGCTATAGTTTTCTCAATCTCTGCCACTAAGGCCCAAAGCTGTAAAATGAATAAATTCACCCCAGGGTATTTCCTTTGCTGAAGTCATAGCTTTCTTTCAGAATCCACCTGTTTTCGATCAGTCTTCAGCGCTTCAGATAGTTAACTTTTATATTTTGCTGTGAGTTTAGGAGTTTACGGTTGATATTTATAGGTGGGCAGCCTGTTAGGAATGTACTCAGCCATACCTGCAGAACTTGGGGGAATATATGTGTCTTGTAAACAGAAAATTACATTATGAACATTTCATAGACAGGCTCATTACTCAAACATGACTGGTGGAAATCTTTGTATATTGATTCTTTATGCTCCATATGGCCTGTATACTTAATATGCAATAGATACAAAGATAACCAGATTATAGACCCTGTCTTTAAGTAGTTCATAGTCTAGTTGATGATGATTAACCTGAAACTAATACTTTGTTGTCTCCAAGTTTGTAAATGAAATAAAATAAAGTGCAGTCATGTGCTGCATAGTGATTTCAGTCAATGATGGACTGCATATATGGTGGTGGTCCCATAAGATTATAGTACTGTATTTTTGCTGTATCTTTTCGATGTTTAGAAATACAAATATTTACCATTGTGTGACAATTGCTTATAGTACTTAGTACAGTAGCGTGAGGAACAGGTTTGTAGCCTAGGAACAATATGCTATACCAGATAGCCTAGGTATACAGTAAGATATGCCATCTAGGTTTGTGTAAGTGTACTCTTTGATGTTTGCACAATGAGGAAATCATCTGACAATGCATTTCTCAGAACGTGTTCGCATCATTATTGACTCATAACATCAATAAAGTATATGAAATAAAATCTCAAATATTGTTTTTCACTGTCGGTTTTGAGGTAATGAAAGAAAAATTATAATTTCTG